GGGGATCATGTCCCTGTCCAATCCCTTATCCCATGGGTTGTTGAACGATCTTGGCAAATTTGCAGAGTTGAAAGGACGGGGTCTGATTCTTGACCGTCACTTCGAGACGATACATACAACATGTGAAGGCGGGAAACTCCGTTGCGAAGGAGCGGTAGGACGCCATCGAGAGCGCGTGGGGGTTGAAGCAGAACGGTATCTTCGACGAAGGAGAGTGGATCGCGCAGATTGATGGTGAAATCCAGGGCATTACCAGCAGCACCCGCCTGTCCTTGTCATCCCAACAAGATGCCAGCAGCGCACGAGGTGCTGCTGCACCTTCTCAGCACCCACCTGCTGCTGCAGCGGGTACCGCGAGGAGGAAGATGGATCGAGGGAAGCACGCCAGGGAGAGAGCTGCGAAAGGCACTTTTGGCGGCAACATCTGCAACGCGTTCTCGATTGGCAGCGGACAATCGGTGAGTTCGGTTACATATGTATCCGACGCACGCTGTTGCTTTGTTTTGCTACACAGGTGTTTGATTGTTATATTTTTGTAATTCCCGATGGTCGAAGCATGAGAAAAAATGAAAAAAAAAATAGGTAAGTTTATTAGTCAAATGTGACCCAAACGAAACAGACGTCATCTCCCCACTCTCTCGTGTGATTCACGATAATCTTTTCAAGGAAGTATTCGCTCAGAGTGCATAGATACTTCTGCCAGCGGCATCCACGGAAATTTGAATTCAACAGCGCCACAACTAAGAGCGACTGATACGTCACATGGCTCGTTGAATCCCCCACACGGCAATTCCTCCCTTTCCCCTCGCACCGAGCAGATTGAGCGGACTCGTGGTGGAATAAAAGAATTTGTATCCGGTATCAGCTTTCCGACTCCGCCGGGACTCCGGCCCCGGAGTCCCGCCGATCCTGCCCTCACTGTCCCATGACCTTCGTGAACGAGCAAGGCCTTGGGATCCACGTGAGAACGCAGCACAGCAGTGCAAACATGTCCAACGGCGTGCGGCTGCGGCGGATGCTACGGAAGAATCTCGAAGGGCGCGTCCTCCGGTGGATAGAAGCCGAGCCTGGGCGTTGTTGGCACGTGAAGGTCGATGATGTGACGGGGGCGGCTTCGTTTGTCCTCCAGCGGAAGCACTTTCTCGATCTAGACTTGGAAAGCGACGGCTTTATGGACCACGACAGCAAGGAAACTCGTGGAGCTCCCCAAGCGCAGGCGATACGACTACAGGTTCAAAGCCAATGCTGTCAACCAGCTGCGCATCCTCGAGGACAACGCCACGGACCTCTTGAAGGAGGAGGAGCGCACGCCTCTTCAGTACTTTGAGGATCGTCTCAAGGTTCACTACAGCAACATCGTGAAGTGGGCCAAGGACGAGAAGGCCATAGTCGCGGCGGCAGCAGACGACGTGAAGAAGAGCCTCCTCGCCAAGCAGCAGCGAAAGCGGTGGTTTCCTGAGGCAGAAAAGAGGCTTTACAAGATGTTCGCGGAGCGGCGTAAGAGGAAGCTGAAGGTATCGACCCTGTGGCTGACGATCATGTTCCGGAAGCTCGTGCGAGAGATGTATCCCGGGGACCAACGGGCGGCGGCGTTCCGCGCATCGTTCAGGTGGGCACGTAAATGGGCCAAGAGGCACAACCTGTCCAAAAGACGTCGGACCAACCTCAAGAACAAGTCTGTTGAGGAGCGCCTACCAAAGATCCAGCGCTTCCACCGACTGTTTCGCAAGCTCCTGCAAGAGTCGGTACGGTACAGGGTGCCCAATGAGTCGGACGTATCGGCGATTACGACGGTCGCAGAGAGGGAGTCCAGAGTTCCCAAGTATGGCCAATTCCAGCTCTGGGAGCGTTGGAATGTGGATCAAGTGCCTTTGGCATTCGTAAACGGGCTGCTCGATACGTGGGAGGAACGAGGTGCGAAGCGTGTCGCCATCTCACAGCCCTTTCCTGGCCTAGAGTAAAGGCAGTGCACCATGCAAGTCATCTTTGGTTCGGGTGAGAAGACCTCGCGAATTTCGGCGGTGTCCCGAGGCACGGGGAAGCGGATCTCGCCGGTGGAGAAGGCCGCGCACCACAAGGACGTGGACGTGTTTTTCCAAGAGAATGCTTTGACCGACCAAAAGTTCGGTATGGAGTGGGCTAAGAGGTCCTACCGCGAAGGCCTGATGCGCGGGCGGGGTGAGCT